GGGGGGGGGGGGGGCCTCCTCTTTCAACAAGTACACGCCACAGAGAAAGGACCTTGATCTCGGAGTTTTATTGTTATAAAAAAAAAATCATAATACAAATCTGAAGACACAATAATCAAAATAAATTGTATGACGGAGGAAGTGGGAAATGTTCAACCGGAAGATGTCGTATGTTCCAGTTTCCACCAGCAGGGGGCTCCCCGGGTCAACGAAGTTGCCTGGGCAGGCATGACCACTACTGCAGTGACACTGTGTAGTCTGATCTCCCCTTCTCTTCATCCACGAGCTCCTCCCTCACCATGATGTTAAGGGAGATCAGACTGCACTGCTAGAGGGACTCGACCAGCAGTGACCCCGCCCCTCCCCCTTTGGCAGAGGAAGCCCAGACACAACTTTAAAGTCTTTAGTCAACTCTGATCAGAGGAGAGCTCGGCCCCCTTGTTTTCCGAGGTGTGCTTCTTCCCAGCGTCAGATCTCTGATGAGATTCATATAGAAGACGTTTCCCGCACTCTAGACACTATAAATACACCTACACGGACGTGTGGGTCCTCTGATGTCTGGTAAGACAGGACTTTTTGGAAAAACGTTTCCCGCACTCATTACAGGAATATGGCTTTTCCCCCGCGTGACTTCTCTGATGACGTAGAAAATGGCCCTGCTGCGAAAAACTTTTCCCGCACTCTTGGCAAGAGTACGGCTTCACCCCTGTATGAAGCCTTTGATGTTTAACCAGATCCGATTTCCGGGAAAAGCATTTCTCGCACTCTAAGCAGAAAAATGGCTTCTCCCCGGTGTGAGATCTTTGATGTATGGCAAGATGGGATTTCTGGGTAAAACAACTCTCGCACTCAGTGCAGGAGTACGGCTTCTCCCCTGTGTGAGTCCTCTGATGTCTGGAAAGATGGGACTTCCGAGAAAAACCTTTTCCGCACTCCGGGCACAAATATGGCTTCTCACCCGTATGGCATCTTTTATGCATAATAAGATAACATTCAAAATAAAAACTTTTCCCACACTCATGACAGGGATACGATTTCTCACCCGTATGATGTCTTTGATGCAAAAGAAGATGGGATTTTGAATAAAAACATTTCCCACACTCAGGGCAGCAATATGGCTTCTCCCCTGTGTGAGATCTCTGATGTACGGAAAGAGAAGACTTTAGTGAAAAACATTTCCCGCATTCAGAACAGGAATAAGGCTTCTCCCCTATGTGAGAGCTTTTATGTCTGAGCAGTTCTGATTGATCAAGAAAGCTTTTCCCACACTCGGGGCAGGAATACAGCTTCTCACCCGTGTGAGACGTTTGGTGTATATCTAAAAGTGATTTTGTGACAAAACCCTTCCCGCACTCTGTGCAGGAATATGGCTTCTCCCCTGTGTGAGATCTCAGATGTCTGGAAAGATTAAACTTATGAGAAAAGCATTTCCCACACTCTGAGCAGGAATGCGGCTTCTCACCAGTGTGAGTTTTTTGGTGTCTTTTTAAAAGTGATTTTGTGCCACAACTTTTCCCGCACACAGGGCAGGAATGCGACTTCTGACGGCTGTGAGATCGTTTATGGACCAAAATCGTTGGAAGGACGGAATATGATGGTCCATCCACACTGTGGGCCACCTGATGGACATTATGGTCTTCTCCTGGACTATAGTGTGTGATGTCCTCATCTTCTGGAGACAACGTGAGACGTTCCTCTGAGATCTTCCCGACGTCCCGTCCATGGACTACAAATAGAAAGAAAGGGATTATTGGAGGACATGTGCAAGTTGGTCCACCTCAACCAGGACTCCGCCCACATCAGTCAGCTTTGTTGATGAGGATCAGATCTGGTAGATGGTTCCTCCTGACCTCAGACCAGATGACTTCTACATTCACCCACCTTAGTCTGTCATCTCCCCACATGGGATGTCCTACACTTCCTTATTTCCCCCATCAGTCATTTAGTAATAAGAGTGGAGCTGAGCCCCGCCAGAGGTCAGAGAGTGAGGATGGGAGGAACCCAACCAAGATGAAGACTGGACTGATCCTGAAGACCATCTATCGTTTCATTTGTACAAACACGCCGGCACAAGAAACAGACAAAGGTGACCTGACTATTGTGTCTGGTAAGGCAGATAGTTCCTAGGAGGACAAGATTCATGGCCTGCAGGAATGTGGAGCAGAAGGGGTTTGGTCTGACTCGGTGATCAGTGATAACTCCTACAGGGCCCATAAAAAGCTGCTGCACAGGGCAGCGGAGAGCTCTCGGTGATAACTCCTAGAGGGCCCATAAAAAGCTGCTGCACGGGGCAGCGGAGAGCTCTCATCTATCGTTTTATTTGTACAAACACGCCGGCAAAAGAAAGAGACAAAGGTGACCTGACTATTGTGTGTCCGGTAAGGCAGATCACGGGAGGACACGATTTATGGCCTGCAGGAGGTGGACATCCAGGCGGAGCAGATCCTGCAGGAATGTGGAGCAGAAGGGGTTTGGTCTGACTCGGTGATCAGTGATAACTCCTACAGGGCCCATAAAAAGCTGCTGCACAGGGCAGCGGAGAGCTCTCGGTGATAACTCCTAGAGGGCCCATAAAAAGCTGCTGCACGGGGCAGCGGAGAGCTCTCATCTATCGTTTTATTTGTACAAACACGCCGGCAAAAGAAAGAGACAAAGGTGACCTGACTATTGTGTGTTCGGTAAGGCAGATCACGGGAGGACACGATTTATGGCCTGCAGGAGGTGGACATCAAGGCAGAGCAGATCCTGGAGGAATGTGAAGCAGAAGGAGGTTTGGTCTGACTCAGAGACACATGGGTGGGGTACAGCCACGCAGGGTGAGAGTAAAGACACTGAAGGCGGATGCTGAAACCAATCTGTGGCAAGTGATCATGGCTGCAGATCCTGCCACATGCCTGGAATTTCATGAGTGTCAGCCTGAGAGAGAAGGAATACGTCCATCGGCATGAACTAGAGATGGCTCCAACATCAGACTGGAGCAGACCCTTCGTTCCCGTAGAGCCACCTGGATTTCTTGTTAATACCTATAGCCGCTGATGACCGCTATTATTTTACCGGGGAACCATTCTGGTATAAGTCCATGGTGGCCAAAGTGACGTTTGGCATACTGAGCTGGCCAGCTGCCAGCGGTTGTGTTCTGCCGTACGTCAGTGGCATGGAAAGCACTCCAGAGACGTACTACATATGACCCACCTGTGCTGGTCTCTGTAGGCGAGTCCTCCTCTATGGATGTCCTCATCATTCCGGCCTCCTCCGTATATCGCTGATCATCCCTCACATACGTCTCTTCTACTTCACCCTCAACTTTCATCTTCATCAGATCTTCAATCGGGAGGTGACATGGAGGTCAGGATGTATAGAAAACACTATATATATGTGGGTAGAAGAATCTGCCGGAGATAAAAGACGTCACAGTGATCAGGAGTAAATATAAAATATCTTATTACCTCCTCTGCTGCCAGTTCCAGCAATGTCTCCTCTCTACTTCCTCCCAACTCACCTGGAACTTCCTATTTATAGGTGACATCACTTCCTGTCTGTTTTCCATAGAGACTTCCTGTCTGGGTGTAGGCGAGATCACCACCTGGTGGAGCTCAGAGGAACTGACACCCCCAGAGAGTCTGGCTAAGCACACACCTGATGCTAACAAACATTGCTGGAGAATGAAGGATAAATCCCGTATAATAATAATATTTCTCTTTTGGCTTTGTTTGGGAGAATGAGAGCAAAGACGCCTACCAATGACAGAACATTCTTCCCTTAGGCCCGAGGGGGGAGGGGCGTGTATGATATTGACTACGATAGCCGTGTGCTGAGGTCTAGTCCGCCTCATTGGGCCTACAATTCCACACGTTACTGGCTTCGAAATCTCAGATTGGTGTCCTTGTGATCCACTGTTCACCATTGGCCAATAAAATTGTCTCCCTACGTCCCGTCCCCCCTCCCCCCCCCATAGTTCTATGTTGTCCCTACTTTCCTCGGCGGTTCACTTTTCTGGTCTCCTCTTGGAGGACGATGAGCTGTTCTCAGTCTCCTCCCTATGTACATGACTGGAGTGGATGGCATTATGATCATGTGACCTCTCTGGATGTCCATTGTTGGCAAGATCTGCCCGGGATTGGATGGAACTTCTCAACAACCTTCCAGGTGTCCTTCTGATCGACTGTGTGCCAACACCACTGAGATTGGGAGGTATGGAGATCTCATCTCACCTTCATAAGTTTACATGTTCTCCTCATCCAGGTCCTACCATCATTGCTGAGACTGAGGAGGTAGAACACCCCGGGCACGTCTATGTCTCCATATGATAAGAGGTCACAATCTGCAGACCCTCATAGTATGAGGACTTAATACATACCAGATACAGGTTTGATTACTATTCCTCTGAGGAGGTAGAAGGTGTCTTCTGGATGGGGTGTGTTTGGTGTCTCATGGATCGGTATTCTCTTATACATCAGTGTAGTCACTTTTCAGGAAGGTCACTCCAATACTGCCAGAGATATGGAAGATGGAGAAAAACTGTGAGTGTGAGACGTATGAATGTCTACGTCACTTGAAGGAGTCTATGGGGGTCACTTGGAAGGGGTCTATGGAGGTCACTTGGAGGGGTCTATGGAGGTCACTTGGAGGGATCTATGCAGGTCACTTGGAGGGGTCTATGGAGGTCACTTGGAAGGGGTCTATGGAGGTCACTTGGAGGGGTCTATGGAGGTCACTTGAAGGGGTCTATGGAGGTCACTTGGAGGGGTCTATGGAGGTCACTTG